AAAAATGAAATATAAAACATACATAAATATAAACGAAATAAAAAAAAATGAAATCATTCAAAAATATTTATTTTACTCGTGCGATATTTGTTTCTCCACTCGTCATGGATTCGCAGAATATAATTTAATTATTCTGCGAACTTATAACTGTAAAGTAAACTCATAAATAAAACAGGCAATATCTGTCCTATATTCGCCAGAATATTATTTTAAAATTAATTATTTAAGTTAATATTAGTTAAGTTATTTTTTTCTCATCATTTCGACAATTAATTATTGAATATATGGATGCACACATAATGTATTTTTTTAATACACTAGTTTTCACTATTTTGGGAATTATAAAATAAATGTATTTTGTAAAAGTGTGATAAATCTCACGGGCCCGAAAAATGGTCAAGCGGGCCACATGCGACCCGCGGGTTGGCCACCCCTGGTCTAAATGTTGCTAGAAAGATAAGAGACAAGACAGACCAAGTGAGATAAGAGACACCAACAGAAAGGATTTTAAGATGCTTTATCAATAGTATTTTTAAATCCTTTTTTTTTTTTTTGTGTGTGTGTGTGTGTACCTACTTTATTTTGAATTTTTAGAAACTTTTATCTTAAATTTTACTAACAATAATTAAGCAGCCTACTAAAATTCCAAGCATATCTATGAATTAAGATGAGGAGGTTTAAGGAGTATTTCCCCCTGTTTGAACTCCGTAAACGGTACGCCAGTTGCCAGTTGCCATGGTTCTATTAGAGTATACGTAACAACATATTGGAATGGTTCTCAAGCCTCCTATCTGGAGATTCGCATAATTGCAATAAATTCGTACAATTGCAGTAAGAAGATTTTAATCGTCAAAATGGATAATTACTAACATTAGGAATTTCATCAAATTTACCTCCAGTATATTTAGTTACATAGACTTTCATTATTTTCCATTTCCGGTTTGTCTCTTTCTTCAGCTGTGTTCGACAGAAGGCTTACACTGTTTTTCATTCAGATAAATAAACTTGAATTTCAGATTGGAGAAACACATTCGCATGCCGTGTCCAATTTCCCTTTCACTTAGCTTTTTAACATTAACTTCCAAGGGGCCTGATGGCCGAATGTCTGGCGTTCGGTACCCCAGGTATCGGGTTCAAATCCCGGCTTTCCCCTCCCATGGGTGTTTTAGTGGTTCGGAATCCACTAAAACACCCCAGAGAACACTAAAACACTCCCGGTCCTAAGAGGATCGTAGAGAAGCATACAATCAATTCAACGAAAAAGTAACATTTATATTTAGAAAGAAGGACGCTTCGCAATAAAATTAAAAAAATAAAAAAAAATGACATTTAAATGCATACGAATAATTAAATTTTCCAGTATTTGTCGTGAAGCTTCAATTTTCTATAGATGGCATATTTCATAAAACTACGAGTTTTCTAAAACAATGTCAAGCAGAAGGGGCCTGAATGGCTAAGTGGCTAGCACTCTGGCGCTCGGTACCACAGGTTTCGGGTTCGAGTCCCGGCGGTGCCATGGATGTTTGTAGTGGTTCGAATCCACTTTAAACTGTAGGTCCCGGTCTAATAGGATCGTAGAGCGTTGCGGGGGCATTGTTACTCCGCGTCCGTGGCTTACCATCAAGTTACACGCGCCCCCTGGGTAATGCAAATGAGTAACATCGGTGCATCCCTTATGGCAAAGATCACGGTCTATTTGCCAGCTGCATTAGAAGGAAAAAAAAACATTAACTCCACTTTATCAATGAGAATTCGTTAAATTTTTACAACATTTGAGGTTTTTTTTTTATATTTGAATTTAATAATTGAACGTTGGTGTCCTCGATGACTAATCATACAATATTCTACCTCTTATGACACCTTGTTCCAAAGTGGGAACTGTGTATTTTCAACATTTTGTTTTTTATGTTTGAATTTAATAATTGAACGTCGGTGTCCTCGATGACTAATCATACAATATTCTACCTCTTATGACACCTTGTTCCAAAGTGGGAACTGTGTATTTTCAACATTTTGTTTTTTATGTTTGAATTTAATAATTGAACGTCGGTGTCCTCGATGACTAATCATACAATATTCTACCTCTTATGACACCTTGTTCCAAAGTGGGAACTGTGTATTTTCAACATTTTGTTTTTTATGTTTGAATTTAATAATTGAACGTCGGTGTCCTCGATGACTAATCATAAATATTCTACCTCTTATGACACCTTGTTCCACAGTAGGAACTGTGTATTTTCAACATTTTGTTTTTTTATGTTTGAATTTAATAATTGAACGTCGGTGTCCTCGATGACTAATCATACAATATTCTACCTCTTATGACACCTTGTTCCAAAGTGGGAACTGTGTATTTTCAACATTTTGTTTTTATGTTTGAATTTAATAATTGAACGTCGGTGTCCTCGATGACTAATCATACAATATTCTACCTCTTATGACACCTTGTTCCAAAGTGGGAACTGTGTATTTTCAACATTTTGTTTTTTATGTTTGAATTTAATAATTGAACGTCGGTGTCCTCGATGACTAATCATACAATATTCTACCTCTTATGACACCTTGTTCCAAAGTGGGAACTGTGTATTTTCAACATTTTGTTTTTTATGTTTGAATTTAATAATTGAACGTCGGTGTCCTCGATGACTAATCATACAATATTCTACCTCTTATGACACCTTGTTCCAAAGTGGGAACTGTGTATTTTCAACATTTTGTTTTTTATGTTTGAATTTAATAATTGAACGTCGGTGTCCTCGATGACTTCATACAATATTCTACCTCTTATGACACCTTGTTCCACAGTAGGAACTGTGTATTTTCAACATTTTGTTTTTTATGTTTGAATTTAATAATTGAACGTCGGTGTCCTCGATGACTAATCATACAATATTCTACCTCTTATGACACCTTGTTCCAAAGTGGAACTGTGTATTTTCAACATTTTGTTTTTTATGTTTGAATTTAATAATTGAACGTCGGTGTCCTCGATGACTAATCATACAATATTCTACCTCTTATGACACCTTGTTCCAAAGTAGGAACTGTGTATTTTCAACATTTTGTTTTTTATGTTTGAATTTAATAATTGAACGTCGGTGTCCTCGATGACTAATCATACAATATTCTACCTCTTATGACACCTTGTTCCAAAGTGGGAACTGTGTATTTTCAACATTTTGTTTTTTATGTTTGAATTTAATAATTGAACGTTGGTGTCCTCGATGACTAATCATACAATATTCTACCTCTTATGACACCTTGTTCCAAAGTGGGAACTGTGTATTTTCAACATTTTGTTTTTTATGTTTGAATTTAATAATTGAACGTTGGTGTCCTCGATGACTAATCATACAATATTCTACCTCTTATGACACCTTGTTCCAAAGTGGGAACTGTGTATTTTCAACATTTTGTTTTTTATGTTTGAATTTAATAATTGAACGTCGGTGTCCTCGATGACTAATCATACAATATTCTACCTCTTATGACACCTTGTTCCAAAGTGGGAACTGTGTATTTTCAACATTTTGTTTTTTATGTTTGAATTTAATAATTGAACGTCGGTGTCCTCGATGACTAATCATACAATATTCTACCTCTTATGACACCTTGTTCCAAAGTGGGAACTGTGTATTTTCAACATTTTGTTTTTTATGTTTGAATTTAATAATTGAACGTCGGTGTCCTCGATGACTAATCATACAATATTCTACCTCTTATGACACCTTGTTCCACAGTAGGAACTGTGTATTTTCAACATTTTGTTTTTTATGTTTGAATTTAATAATTGAACGTCGGTGTCCTCGATGACTAATCATACAATATTCTACCTCTTATGACACCTTGTTCCAAAGTGGGAACTGTGTATTTTCAACATTTTGTTTTTTATGTTTGAATTTAATAATTGAACGTCGGTGTCCTCGATGACTAATCATACAATATTCTACCTCTTATGACACCTTGTTCCAAAGTGGGAACTGTGTATTTTCAACATTTTGTTTTTTATGTTTGAATTTAATAATTGAACGTCGGTGTCCTCGATGACTAATCATACAATATTCTACCTCTTATGACACCTTGTTCCAAAGTAGGAACTGTGTATTTTCAACATTTTGTTTTTTATGTTTGAATTTAATAATTGAACGTCGGTGTCCTCGATGACTAATCATACAATATTCTACCTCTTATGACACCTTGTTCCAAAGTGGGAACTGTGTATTTTCAACATTTTGTTTTTTATGTTTGAATTTAATAATTGAACGTTGGTGTCCTCGATGACTAATCATACAATATTCTACCTCTTATGACACCTTGTTCCAAAGTGGGAACTGTGTATTTTCAACACTAAAAAATTATGAAACAAAACGAATTATAGCCAGGAAGTTACAAGAATTAGTTAACATATAATTAGTTTAGTTAACATTATTAACATAATTAATTAACATTATTAGTTTTCCAAACCATTCTGCTGTCGGACATACTAGTTAACATATGTCAAGCATTCGAATTTAGTGTTTAAATTTATTTTTAAAATATAAAAAAATAAATGTTACTTAATTTATTAAAATGTTGCTTACTTGCCAAATGTCTGGGTAATGTACATAATAGACAAATGCAAGCTTGAAAATTCTCCTGATACGTATTTCTTCGCACATTCCTTTGATTTGAGTGTAATGTAATGTACCCTGAGTAGCACAGAATATGCTACAAAATCTGTTGTTGTTTCTTATCCCACTTGGCTGGCCAAGCCCACACGTACTCATGATTGAAGGGGAAGGAAGCAGCTTCTGTTGTGATGGAGCACCCCCGTAGGTAGAAGTCTGACTTCGGCTCCGTGACGCTCTTACAGTCTTAGGAGACGGGGACCTACGGCTTAAAGTGGATTCCAAACCACTACAAATATCCATGGCACCGCCGGGACTCGAACCCGAAACCTTTGGCACCGAGCGCCAGAGCGCTAGACACTCGGCCATTCAGGTCCCAAATTTGTGAATGCCAACGGCACGCGGTGTTCCCAGGTGGTCACCCACCCAAGTACTGACAGATGATGCTTGACTTCGGTGATCTAACGAGAACCGGTATATTTAGCATGTACGGCCGTTGGCCGTTGGTAAAATATAATAAAATAATTAAAAAATTATTATTTTATCTTCTGTTACGGAAAGGCGCAGCGTGATTTAAGTTGAATTGCGTTGTCATAGAATTAATTCAAAACATATCATGGATAAATACCTGATAATAAGAATAAAATTTGTTGGTAAACACAATTTATGAAATGAACTGTTAAGTTTTCTTTAAGAAGATCGATATTTTTGCTTAATAAAAATTATTTATAAAAGGTATGACAAATGAAGTGCTGAAAATTAATTTTGTCACAAACCTAATAAAACATCCCTTAAAGGCGATTGTAGAAACTTTCGAATAAAAATATTTTCAATAACTGGTTGTCATAGAACCATCGAATTTATAAACCGATACGCTTCCAATTCTCTACCAAAAATGAAGACATTTGTTAAGTGTAGCGCTATAAATTAACATGTCTTCATGAAATGTATATCTCTAAAAGTTACACAATTTATGAAATGAACTGTTAAGTTTTCTTTTAGAAGATCGATGTTTTCACTTAACAAAAAATTATTTATAAAAGGAAGGAAAAGTAAAATATTGAAAATTAATTTTGTTAAAATTTTAATAAAATATCGTAATAATAATATCCGCATAAAACTGATTGCAAGAAACTTTCGAATAAAAATATTTCCAATATCTGGTTGCCATAGAATCATCGAATTTACAATTCGATTCTCTTTAAATTCTGGTACAAAAATGAAGACAGTTGCTAGAGTAACACTATAAAATAACACGTCTTCATGAATACATATACTTCTGCAAGTTCTAAATATCCAATAGATAGATTCTAAATATTCATTTTTTGTTAAATCAAAATCTATGGTAATCACATGAAAAATGTTTAAAAAATCAAAAAAGGATTCACCGTATAATTTGCTGTTCTCTTTAATTCATTGTGGTGTAATTTTTCCTTTAATATCTATTGCGAAACCAAACATTGTTGAAATTGTAACCAGAATACTTTTTCATGTTGCAATTATAATGATTTGCGTTTTATCAACAATTTCTGCATTGGTACTTTCCAATACTTCTCTTCTCATAATGTCCGCATCATTTATGCACATCATACTGATAATACAGCGTTGTGTTCTGATCCAAAAAATTACTACGCTGAAGAAAATTTCTGAAACTCTCAGTAAATTTGAAATCAGCAAAGAAGTTAATTGGTTATGGATTAAAATTATCATTATTAGCACTATTTTTTCTCTAGTTTTTCTAAATCTTTATAAACTATTGATCAAACAAGAGTTTCAAAACATGTCTTTGTTTCTTTTCGGATTTGAAATTGGAAATGAATTTTATAACAATATAGCTTACACATTATTCGAAATATATTATTTTACGATCTTCTCATTGCCATCGATCGCATTTGGATTTTATTACACCATTGTCTGCAGCCATATTTGTCACATTATAAAGCAGATCGCAGCAACGCATAGAAATAGAAGGGAGAAGAGCTTTGAAAACTTTCTGGAAGATTATTCCAACATAAAATCAGTTGTGGAGCAGATTGACAAAGACATCGGTTTACTTGTGTTCCTATCGATCATTTCCACTTCATTTTTAATGTGTTTTTCGATATACCTTATCCTCGAGCCAACAGTGCATGAAGGATTATTTCTGAGATTTCAATTATTTTGTGTTTTCATCGGTAGCTTTATATTATTCATTATAATCACGGCTTCGGCCTCGATGGTGGAAGAAACATCGTTGGAAGTGGGTTCTCAAGCCCACACGCTGTCAGAAAACACTCGAAAATCCATCTTTGTCCAACAAGGTATCATGATGTTCTTTCAAAAAGGAATCACGCTAACAGTATGGAGAATCGCTCCTATCAACAGAAGTTTCATTTTTGGTATAATTGGAATCATATTAACGTACACGTTTATGTTCCATGGTTTGAGTCGATGAAAAAACAGGTAGAAGGCAATGAAAACTAGTTTTCTTTCAACATTTCATTATTTTCACTGAAAAGAACTTGAATTAGCATTCGTTTCTTTCAAAAGTTATATAGATAGATTAATAGACTAATTTCTGATTTTTCTAATTGTACATAAAACGAAGCTACTAAATTTTTAACGCTAAGCAGCTCTTAGAAAATTTGCTTTTTATGAAAACAATCAACTGAAAGTTCCATGAAATCCAACTTTATTTCCCAAAAAATTTATTGTATTTAGAAGGAAAAAATGGATTACAAGTGAGGACATTATTTTTGACAAGAATTTTTTTTTGTTGCTATAAATGGTAAGATGTTAATTTACTAATTGTTTTATGTTTTATATTGTTGTTCTATATATAAATAGTGTTTTGTATCATTCTAAGTGTTTGAAATGAATTCCTACAGAGATAAGTTATTTCAAATCCTCCAAATTGCTAGCTTTTTGGTAAAAGTCATTTTAGAGTAGCCCATCAAAATGTCCAAGCAAGCCCAAACAAGCGGCTTCCGGTTATTTGAGTGGCCAAAGCAATATGATGTTTATTTTTTTTTTGTGTGTATATGTAATCTAAAGTTGACTTACGGTGTGTCCCTCCAAATTTCGATAAATATGTAGTCATTCTTATTTTACCAACATTTTGTTTGTTTTGAAACATATGGTTTTTTTTGCTTATGAGAAAAGCAGATTCTTCACTAAGGAACACTTACGCATAGTAATTCTCATCCTTCTTTGATATTATTTAGCATTTTAGTAGAGGATTCAGCAAGTTGAGTGGTATACTAATCTCTCTTTAATCCAGCATTCGATAGTGTGGCCCATTATATGTTGCAGCGCAAATCGAGCCTTCTTTTTTAGTATTTGTTTGGTGTGGGCGATTGTTGAAGTTGGCACACAGATGAAGACACAATTCTGCTTACGTTCGGCAGATAAATATATCGTCTACATGTGTTCACAATGTGCGACACACATTAAATATGTACAGGCTTTAACCGTTCAAATTTTTATCTGATGGCTTTATTTTTTATATCCCACTTGTCGCTAAATGATCGTGCACAAATGCTAATCAGCACGACCACACTTGCTGGTTTAAAGGGACTTTATTTTAGTACGAAAATTGTCCCGAAACAACTGCGAACTGATTTCTCAAAAAATTTGGATGAAGTCTTGAAGCTTTCATCTTTGAACAGCATAAACACCACTTTAATAAAAAGCCTCCTCAGTGTACTAAGTAATCTATATAGAAATAACACATTGTTTGAAAGAATAAACTGATTATGAACTAGGTTAAATATGGATATAAATATAAATAAAATACGTTACTCAAAAACTAAAAGGCCGCCATTTATATTTGAAAAAAGCATCGAACAATTTCAAATATGAGAAACCTGTAGACATTCAATTTTCTATGTAAATCTACGAGTCTAAAAATAATTAATAATCAATTGTTAGGTATGTTCTAGATGAAGTCATAAAAACTCTAATTTCTGTATAAAAATTAGATTTATCAGAAGCTTAAGCTTAAGTTCGCGTAGAAGTGGAACAGTGTGGCACCGAAGACAAGAACTCCAGTCACTTGGCCATCAGGCTCCCACAAGTGTAAACTGCCTCTATTCATTCGTTGGCACTATGACAATTCTAATAAGAAAATGAACTAAAGGAATATTTTATCAGACTGAACTTTATATGGATGTTCTTCATAAAAATTCTTTAAACCATTATAAAAATCGTTTTTCTTTCCGATTGTAACTGCGAAAAAATCTTTTAACCTGAGAAACGAATGTAATAAAAAAACATTAAAAAATGTCTGAATATAGCATCTCTACGGTGAAGGAAAATACCTTTTTTTTTTGTGATATGTGCGGGGAAAGATTCTCTCAGAAAAGCAGTTTGATACGACATTTGCCCTGTCATTTAGGATCGAAGCTTCATGTGTGTTACATAATAGGTGGGCTGAAAAGTTCGTAGATTCCGGTGTGAAATGATGGAGCCCTGTTTTATCCATTGTCACATATCGACGCAAAAATTCGGGTTTATTACGATTGAACAGCTCCAAACACTGCTTAGAATCATCCATTCGTTGTTGTTTTGGGTCGATTGTGAGCTCTGCGCGGCACCCACTTTGAACAGAGCTTTCGCATATCCAAATATTCATTCGCGATATGTCCAATACGTTCCTTTGATATCTTTAGGGTTGCAGCTATCTCAATCAACTTCACTTTACGGTTATCAGAAATTATTTTGTGGACTTTTTTGATGTTTTCGACGGTAACAGCCTCTTTGGGGCTTCCACTGCGTGCATCGTCTTCGGTGCTCATTTCGCCTCATTTAAATTTAGCAAACCACTTCTCTGCGGTTGATTTTCCTGGTGCAAAGTCCGAATGATGTATATCAAACCAAGTCTTGGCTTCTATAGTATTTTTTTTTCGCCAAAAAGTAATGCTTTATTAACACACGAAATTTCCTTTTTATCCATTTTTTCTAACTGACGAAAGTTGCTTCACTAAAAATGCTATGACTCACATTCTAATAGTGCAACCGCTGTCAAATTTATACGCGTGTCTTTTGAAGGTTTGGGCTAACTAAAAATCAGATGGATTTATTACTAGTAGCGCCATCTATGTGTCAGCCTAGGAACCTTTTAGCCCACCTGTTATATAATAAAGAATTTCTGAGAAAGGGGGACTTAAATAAGCATTTGCTACTTCATGATCGGGCTGAAATCACACAAATGCGAAATGTGTGGAAGAGGTTTTGCTCGTAAGGACACTCTGCAACGACGCATCCTTACCCATACGAAAGAGAAGCCAGTGAAACGGTGGAAAAGCTGATGCCTGCAGATCAAGTTTGAGAGGACAATTCCGAACACACACGAAATAAAGCATTTTCATGCGATATTTGTAATGTGGCATTTTCTGTCAGGGGTAAATTGCAAAGAAATTATCTCACCCATACCGAAGAAAAGCTTTTTTCATGCGAGATTAGTAATGTTTCATTTTATAGCAAGGTTTTTTTTTCTTTCTAATGCAGCTGGCAAAC